ATTCTTTACATAGGCGTATGTAATGTTTCATAAATTATAAATTGACACCACTCCACTAATTAAAGAAATGGGTGCAATGTAAAAATTTTTAAAAATTGGAACACCAACTTAAATCAATTGAAAGTCAGGCAATTGAAAATTGGAACACCAACTTAAAACTGAAAAACGAGTTGAAGCTCAAAAACTCTTGCAATTGATCCAATCTTTTGATTTTGCTTTCACCTTACACTTGATAAACAAATGAGTTGTCAAAATCTTTACAAAGAAAGGATTAAGATATTGTTAACGCTATGGAATTGGTTAAAGTTGTCAAAGAATGACAATATTTGCTATGTTTGCTTTATGCCTTTATGTGTTTATAGATTATTATATAATACTCCCTCCGTACCGCTAAGATTGTCTCAGACACTATTCACTTGGTCAATACAAATCACTCTTAATCTTTTATTTTAGAGAAAATCGCACTTTTAGTTCCTGAAGTAGTCACGAAAATGAAATGTCGGACCCGTATATTTGATATTGTAAATGTCACCCTCAATTGTCCAAATTGTTGTAAATGTGGTCCTTTAAGGGGTGAAATGTACTCTCGCCCACATTGTATATTTCACCCCTAAATAGACCGTATTTAGGGCATTTAGGACAATTGAGGGATGACATTTACAAACTTGGGAATACGGGTTGAACATTTCATTTTCGTGACTATTTCATGGACCAAAAGTGTGATTTTCCCTTTATTTTATATATCAAATTTTTATCAAATTTGATTCTGGTTTTTGCGACTTTGTAAAGTTTTTTTATGTAGTATCTAAATATGTCAATTTTATTTTCCAAAAATAATTTGAGTGTGTACAAGAATTAGTTTTCTTTATCGTCGGTTAAACATCGTAAACCGAATTGTCTCAGACATAGTGGGACGGATGTAGTAGTATTCTGCTTAAAAATGGTGCTTTGTTAAATTGACACTACTCACACCGGTTCCTGGCTCCGTTCTTGTGTTGAGGCGTTTGTTGGGTCGTGCCTCTTAGGCCATCTCCAACAGTTAACACTATTTTTTACACTAAAATGGTATAAACATCACATCAAACAGTATTTTATCTCCAACAGTTTACACCATTTTCATCCCCAAAAAGGAATATTCTCTTTTTATTCTTTTTACTAATTTTTTACCATTCTTCTATTTAAGTATCTAACTATCATATATTTATACATTAGCCCCTCATTTAATATTTCGACATTTCACACATACAAACTAAAATACGTAGTACATCATTTTAATATGTATTTTTACGCATTTCACTAATTAAAATACAATAATCAATATTTCACAATAATCAATAATCAATACAAACACCATTTAATTTTAATTATAATGGTGTTATTAATTGTAATTTTAATTATGTTATTTCCTTAAGTACCATTTGTATTCTGTTATAATGTTGTTTGGATTTGAAACTTTATTTATAATATTGTGTGATTTAAATTTTATTATATTTTTTTCTATCAAATTAATAATTTTAATTTGTTTTTCTATAAGGATGTTTTTACTTGGACTGTAATTTGTCTCGGGATCAGATCAGACCTGATTAGACCACACTTGGGTAGTTATAAAAATACAAAGAAATCAGACCAGACCACATCATTTCAGATCAGATCAGATCAAATCAGACCAGACCAGACCAGAGCGGACAAACAATTTCACTCCAAGTAAAACATCCTAATTTGTTGATTTAAAAATGGGTTAAAACTATAATAATTAAAACTTGAAGGTCACATTTAAAAGGAAAAAAAATTAAAAAGGTGGATAGTGTTAGATATAGTGTACGCCATATATGGCGTAAAGCCATCTCCACTCCCCCAAAATGGTGTAATGGTGTGAAAAATGGTGTCATTGTTAGAGCAAGTTTTTGGCAAATATACTATTTTGGTGTGTGATTTGGTGGTCTGTTGGAGATGGCCTTACTGGTGTTAACATTTATTTTTAGCTACTGCTAGGAAGCTTCGAAAGTACAGGGCTGGGCTGGACTATGTGATTTTGACATCGAAACAGCTGGTGGTCCTATGTGGCAGGCGTTCCAAGGCAGACTCTGTTTAACAATTTTTTTCCATGATTGATAGAAGAAAATATACGAAGTACAAAATAGAAAAATACTGTAGTAGATTTTTTTTTTTCAAACTAAAAAAAAATTAGTTTTTCATCTAAACGAGATAATTTAAAAAAAGAAGAAGCTATGTGTTAGATTTGCATTTATAATGGCATGCAAACTCACTGTAGGGTACTCTTTTGGTATGCTTGTACTTGTAAAAATATAATTCTCATGACAAACTCACTAGAATAAATGTCATTTCACACAAGTTCAAAAGTCACAACTTATGATGAATGTATACTAATTTAAGTTGCTTTTAGAACTTCCTTTCATTTTTACTCGGGCATGATTGGTCACATGCAAAAAAAATGCAGCTCATAGTTGTTCACTTCTTACACAATAATCAACCATATGCTGCATATTATTATCTCGAAGATATGTCGATGAATTTCTTTTTGATATCTAAACTATATTTATTTCCCATTTCGGAGGCACATCATAACTTTCAAGTTCCCAAAATCATTAACTATTTGCATAATATGAGTGCATGTTTACTTTTGCCCTTAATGAGGAGGAATGTCTCTGATATGAAGCGGGAAGAGCATGGGGCGGGACGGGCTTGAGCCCACCTTCGTGGGCTGGCTGCGAGCAATTTAATTAATTTTAATTATTCCTTTTATTTTGTTTCCTAATTTATTTTGTTTCCTAGTATGATTTAATTAGGACTTCTATTAATTAAAGGTTTCCTATTTCTATTTAGTTTCCTTGAATGGTTTAATTAGGACTCCTATTATGTTTCTTACTAGGATTTAGTTTCCTATTCAGTTTTGGATGTAAGGGTTATATAAACCCCTGCCTAGGCTTATTCAAATCAGGCATTTATAATATTGGTTTTAGCTATTTAGCTCTGGGCAACGGATCCAGCCGTTGATTATTTTGGGCAACGGGTTACCCCGTTGATTTTATTTTTCTGTTCTTATCAATTGGTCCGACCTGCCGGATCCCGTCCCGCCAAGATGACAAGATCTCAAAATGATCGATTGACAGAGCTGGAGAACGAACAAACTCGTATGAGAGAAGAAGTGACCCGGATAAGGGCTGAACAGGCAGAGAATGGTGGCAAGCTGTCGGAGATCATCGCCTCACTAGCGGCGTTGACCCAGACGATGGTCCCGCCGGTCACACCGAAGAAAGCCGCGGATGACGTGGGTCGAATCCTGGCAACCGAGCTGCATGGAGAAGGCGTGCTAAGCAATCCAACTATAACGCTGCTTCCGTCGTTCGATGGGGGAGACCCAATTGGGTGGATCGCTCGGGTAGAGCAACAGTTCGAATTACACAACACTTTATCAGAAAAGAAGGTGGCTGCCGCGATGGTAGCTATGGAAGGAGGAGCGCTTTACTGGGTGACCTGGCTGAGATCGCGCAAGCCCGGGATGACTTGGGCAGATTTCAAGCAAGCCTTGGTGGACAGATTTGATTCTCGATTTCAGGGGAATAAGTATGAACGATTGTCCGGAGTCAGGCAAATTGGGTCTATAGAAGATTACAACATCTTGTTTGTTCAGCTAGCAAGCCAAGTTCTAGGGTTACCCGATGAGCACTATTTGGGATATTACATGAGCGGTCTTAAGGAGATAATTCGAAGCTCGCTGCGATTGCTCCGACCAAACAACCTGGAGATGGCTATGGAATTAGCTCGCGAAGTGGAGTATAATCTGTCCGTCCAAAGTGGAGAAAGTGGCAGCCTGAATTATCATTCATCAGGGGTACGTTCTATCAGCCTTTTAAGGGCAAACACAGGTTCCCCGTTGACTGCCATTGCTGGCAGCTTACAGGGTTCGGAGGGCAGCTTTGCAAAAGATAGTGGACAGCCTCCGGGGACGAAGTCAGGATTGTCTGGGCAGCTTACGACACGCTCTCAGTTCACTCGACTTCCGCCGAAAGAGTTTGCAGAACTGTGGGCGAAAGGATTATGCTTTAGGTGCAAGAAACCATTTACACCAACACATGACTGTCCCTTTAAGCAGTTGTGGGTAATGATAGCTGAGGAGGATGAAGAGTTAGACCTCAAGCAGCATGAATTCTGTGAAATAACCGGCTAGGAAAAGGTCCCGGAAAGAGAAGAAGGATATTTTCCAGTCTATAGTATGTCTGGAAATTTTAGTTCCCGATCCGCGAGTTTTCAACCTTGAGGACAAGGTTAATTTGAAGGAGGATGGATTGATATGAAGCAGGAAGAGCATGGGGCGGGACGGGCTTGAGCCCACCTTCGTGAGCTGGCTGCGAGCAATTTAATTAATTTTAATTATTCCTTTTATTTTGTTTCCTAATTTATTTTGTTTCCTAGTATGATTTAATTAGGACTTCTATTAATTAGAGGTTTCCTATTTCTATTTAGTTTCCTTGAATGGTTTAATTAGGACTCCTATTATGTTTCTTACTAGGATTTAGTTTCCTATTCAGTTTTGGATGTAAGGGTTATAAAAACCCCTGCCTAGGCTTATTCAACTCAGGCATTTATAATATTGGTTTTAGCTATTTAGCTCTGGGCAACGGATCCAGCCGTTGATTATTTTGGGCAACGGGTTACCCCGTTGATTTTATTTTTCTGTTCTTATCAGTCTCATGTTTGACTGCTTGCTCATAGGCTTTAAAATGTTGTTCCAACTACTTCCAAGTCTCTAATTGAGCTATCTTATATGTTTTTATCTGCTTTCACATTCTCTCCTCCCATCAATTCATTGACTTATTTGACAATATTTTAATGACTTTATAATGAAAATAAACCTGATTCCTTTTAAATGAAATTTACATCTCTACAAGCACTTCAGCACATGAGTATTATCAAGTAGTTCTATGTTGCTTGATACACTTATATTTACATCTCTAAACCAATTCAATATGTATCATTAGGTGTGCTCCCATTGTTGTCAAACTTCTTGGTTGGTTGCTACACTTGAATATGTAAGTAGTTCTTTTTCAATTCTTTAGCTATATCATGTCACCTTCTAATTTAGGTAAAGTAGATCTACAAATAATATACAAAGAACAATAATAGTGGTATAAATCAAAGATAAATGTATAATTGTGTTGTCTATGCTAAACATGCAAGCTGAACATTGTTTTCAATGAGCTGGGCATAAGAAAAGCAGGCTCCTTGCTGAAGGTAGCTTTGTCTCGCCCAGGAAGTGAGAAGAGTTGGGAACAAAGTGGCGAACGGGTGCTTAACGCGTGGGAATAGAGCTAGTTCAAAATTTCTCTCTCAAAGAATCAGCCTATGTCTAGAATCTGGAAAGTGGCAGTCAATGCAAGGATAAAAAAAGTCAATGCAAGGATAAAAACGAAGTGATTTTTAATGTGTGTTTTAGCCTTGGGAATATGAACAAAATCAATAATTTGAGTATTTGCCATATCTCATCTGATGTATGTATTAAACGGGCAAGGATCATGATACCACATCAACAACAAAAACCAACAATAACATAGTAACATTTCGATACTCTAAAAACAATCGGCCTTTGCAGTTCCAATGTTTAGCCAGTTTTGGACCCTCGCTGGAGGGAAATGCTAAGAGATGCCTAGATTTTCGACACAAATATCTTGCCCAGTTGCTCCAGGTAACAACAACTCTCTTCCATCCCTTGAATGCCATTGGTTATACTCTCTTCCATCCCTTGATGAACGCCATTGATTATGTTAATTTGCTGACTAAAAAACCTCACTCCCACTCTCCCTCTCTCTTTTTTCTTGCGTATTCTTTTCATAGCAAACTGGGATTCGAGAGTGCTGGAATAGCAAGCTATTTCTCGGGAATAAATTTGAACGACCAAGTGATGAACTTTTTTGGTTCAAGGAGTCAAAGTTACTGTAGATATTGTTGTGGGTTTAAGATATACCCACCACTGGACTTCTTTGAATAATCTACGCTCTTATTTTTTGTTTACTTGTTTAGGAAACGGTAAATAAACTGTCGTTATGTAACTCAATCTACGCCTAAGTGTTTTTGGTTTGCATAGAATGTTTGAAAATAACCTTTAATCTTTAAAATCTTACAAGGGTATCCTAATCTTTTAAATTCCCTGAAACAATATACGGCTTCCAATTGTATCCTTAAACAATATACTATTACACAGTTGATACAAATGTTAAAGTCAAATACTAAACGTAATTATATTAAATCAACATTCAATATACATATTTTCAATAAAACCCACATTGGGCACCTGTTTTGTCACGCAACGCGTGTATTAAAACTAGTGATTTTATAAAAGCCTATTTTTGGCGACTCTTCAATTTTGGGAGTCATCGCTAGAAGCTATGATTTGGCCTAGTTATCAAAATCTGTTTTTGTATCATCTAGCCTTCAAACACAGTGTTAAGTGTTGTATCGATAGAAAGTGTATGAAAATTCTTCTTTAATTCGAACTTCGATCTCTCACATTTATACTACTGAAAGTTCTATTTGTGATACAAAGGTTTTTACATTACTACTTGCGAAAATGTCGTTCTCAAGAGTCGTGAAGCTCCGGCGATTATGACCTCCTTCTTGACATACTTTAGACCATGGTCGACCTATGCCTTATGATAAATGGTGTAGCCCGATAACTATGTATCTTTATCATGTGTTTTAAATCTAGGTCTAAACATGATCAGATCACTTCATGTTTGATATGCTGAGGTCTGTCCATCGAACCCAACCTTGGGAAGCCTCCATGCTCCATCAACGTCTTAATCCAGCGTTTTGACTAGCACACCTTCACCTTCTAAACAACACAAGCCCTTCAAACAAATGTGCAAAAACTTAATCATATGTTTGAAACGCTCAAGTCTGTGATTTATCCACCATAGTGTTTCTCCGGCCCATCCCACCTCCCACAAACCCACCTTCGTGCACCTGAGCTTGATACACAACACAAATGTCTGCACTCAGAACATTTCGGCACAAATGCTCTAGATGCTTCTGTACACGGGTCCAACTCTTATTAGACTAACTATTTTGTACTTGTTCTCTAAGCATTGAAATATTTTATGTAAAGATCACCCTCAACTCGTGCACCTGAGCTAAGCACCATCATGCACCCGAGCTTGACACACAACACAAATGTGCGTACTTTGAACATTTCGACACAAATGCTCTAGATGCTTCCGTACAGTGCCCAACTCTTATTAATTAGACTAGCTACTTTGTACTGGTTCTCTCTCTAAGCATTTGATATTTCTATGCAAGGCCGGTCCAGAGAAAACGAGGGGCCTGTGCAACAACAAAAATCAGGCCTTTCTTTTCTATCGTTTAAAGAAATGCTATTTCAATTGAAATGGTAAATTGTTAATACGGAGTAGTAGTAATTTATTAAAAATTTATTTCAAAATAGAAGTTGCTAGTATTAACTAACAGTAATATATCCAAGAAAAAATTATTTACGTATAAAGTTATACAGTGAAACAAAAACAATTTTAATAGACTAAGAACCTATTAATATCACTTTGTTGAACTCAGATCACAAAATTAATTCATAAAGAACCATTACTCTCTATTAGTTACAAATTTTACCTAGAATAGTGGAGTTTTGCCATCCTAGATGCATCCGAATCGCCGCAACAACTTAGAAATCAGGATGGCTGGAGTAGAGCCTGGAGACGGAGAGTCGTCGGCACAGTGCTCGTCTCGCTCAGTCACTCGTTATGCCCTTTTGCATATGCGCTTCCTCTTTCGCAGATTGCTATACTCGTCTCACACCTTTTTGTTCGCTATTGGGCTGACTAGCTTTATACGGAGTAGTAGACTAGTAGTAATACTAATACTAATTTATTTTTTTGGGCCTTCCATATTTTTGGACCCTGTGCGGTCGGACACCCTACACACCCCCTGGGCCGGCCCTGTTTCTATGTAAAGATCACCCTCACTACGCCATTGAAAATATACTAATAGCAAGTGTTCCCTTTTAATCTCTCTTATATAATGAGGAAATTGTTCCTTATGGGATCCGTCATAGAAACGCTCCCTTTTCCACAGGGTATGAGGGATTAAATCCCTTATAAGTTAAAGGGATTAACAGCAACCGTTTTCTCCCATAAGATGCAAGAAACACAACAAACAAGTCTAAGGGATTATTAAGGGATTCTTCCTTTTATATCCACAACCAACAATAAGAAACTAATGAGGGATCTTCCCTTATGGTATAAGGACCTGTCGAGTAATTGTTTTAATTAAAACTCCATTATTGCATATTTCTTTATGCATTATTTATTCAAAATTACTGAAAAATCAATTAAAAACAGTAACTAAATGTATTCACATAGTTAAAACATACTCCATATTATATAATAAACGATGTCTAACATACTGAATAGTTATTAAAATGACGTTCAATACTACAAATAAGTTACATGAAACCAATTTATCATCGTTTAGATCTAATCCTCGTTGAAATCATCACTCGAGTGTTCATCATCGCAGTCCGAGCATGATGACTCATCTTGAGTTGGTCGCACCGGGGGGTTGGCAGCACTGTAGGGCGTTTGATCGGAGGGCTAGTCAGCCCTTTTGAGAAAGGCTATGATGATGCCGGTTGTGTACAACCATCGAGCCCTAATTGCTAGGGTTGATCCAAGAATGTTTCTTGTTGTGCTTGAGCGTATGTAAGTCCAAAAAGTTGTCCAAATGGTAATGTCCGGTTGAGTTGAGGCTGTCCAAACATTGATGGCGGTTGATGTTGGTGGGTGAATTTATTTCTCATTTGTTCCTTAGTTATCCCTTATACATTTAGTATAACAACTATGTTTGACTTGTTACAAATAATGACCCATTTCCTTATTAAGTCCTTATAAACTTTTCTACTAAAACCCAACTGGCAGGACTTAATGAGGGACTACTGTAATCACAAAGATTCCCTTATAAGAGTCCTTATTAATTTTCCATCACTCAGCTACTATGTTGTTTTTTATATCCAATACTTTCTTTTTCTAACTTCTCTTGAGAACTTTACTACCCCAGTCCTTAAGGACAACCAGTAACATTGTTAAATTCCCACACCGAAAACTTTTGAAGGAATAAAGTGCTGTGTTAAGACATGGACTACTTCTCCTATCAGGTTGACCTTTTAGGATGGAACCCCGGGTCTTAATAAACATTCACATCCTTTTGAATCTGGAATTTTTTCTTTCAGTCTGGAACACTTCCTTTCTAATTCAGTGTATAACATGAGCTTTTTTTGTCTATCATTAATGGCATGCATTGCATGGTGGATGTGAAAAGTGAGGCCAGTAGGCCACTATCTCGATAATAATGAGACCAAGAAGAAAATGTTCTCAAATAAGATTATCACTCTGTTTTCTTCCCAAAAATAAAACTCGTACGCTCTTATTTAGAGAAGGTTCTAATCCTTTTTTTTTTTAGAAGAAATCATACTTGGTCATATTTTAGAGTTTTATTTTGAGCAATGGTTTTTCTTAAGTTACTACTCCATTAATTTGTGTTTGTAAGATGCATTTACCACAATGTATTTTGAATGGATATAGTTGTGTTGCATTTACCACTCCATTTATTTTTGGGAAGAAAACAGAGTGAAATGGAGTGAAATTGAACTAGGCCTGGGACTGGTTCCATTCCTAAGCAACACAAGTATAGCAACACGACTACATAAAAGTAGTTTCGTTTCTATATAGAAAAATATTGACTCACAATGTAATATGGAGTGAAATTGAACTAGGCCTGGGACCGGTTCGATTCCTAAGCAAAATATGTGGAACTGTTTAAAAATATGAAATTTTACAAAATGGTTCGGTTCCTATAAATTATTTTCTAGAACTGATAAGGAATCGAACCATTCTTAACAGTTCGGTTCTTGTCATTTAACGGTTCCTAGTTTTTAGATAATTTCTTACAAATCACTGTTAAATTCGTGCCAAAAAGACATTCAAAGTTTGAAATTACAATACAAAATGTTGAACATCATTTCAAACCTCAAAAGTTGAGTTTAAATCATAAATACATAACAAACTATAAATTTTAGTAAATAAAACAAAACAAGATATTCATTACAATCAACATCGTAATTGGTCGACAAAAAAAATTCATACAATAAAATACAAAGTGAATGAAGCTTACCAATGAGAGCTGGTTGTCGATGAAGCCACAATGAAGACAGAATAGTAAAAATTAATTAGGGTTTTTGCCTAATATGTCGTGAGTAACCTTCCGACCCTCTAAAGTTAGTGTTAGTACCCAATTTTGATAGATTTTGATGATGCCACTATACTTTGCACTAGTATATTGTGTCTAATTTAATTCGAGTATTAGTATTTGAAATTATCCAAAAGTGACAAAATAAATGTACAATTTTTGAGACTAATAAAATTATGCTGGAAAGATAAAATGCAATAAGGTAATTTTTATTTACCTTAAAAAGGATATTTAAATCCTACCAGTATAATTTTATTTGTACACAAAAATTACAGTCACAAAATTAAAGACTCGATCACCTTTGCATTATTGAAGACAAAATTGACATCAAGGTCCTTCAGCATGGGACGTCTTTTTGGAGTGAAGCTACAGCGGCTGAAGACACACCCATGTTGCAGCCCAATTATTCAAGACAAGAAAAGAAAAGCATTAAAAGCTCCTGCACAAGAAGACGAATGTACATTTCATCCTTGCCAGACCTTCAACGCACAAGATTAATCCATCATAACCAACGGATGAGATTAATCAACTGAAGTAGCCTATAAATACAGGCTGAAACGAAAGTTTCTAAAAAAGCTTGAGCATCCTAAGTAGAGAAATACTTACATAAAAGCATATACGAGCTATCTAGCAAAAGAGAAAGTGAGAACTCAACTTTACTCTATGCTTGGACTCATGCTTCACTAAACTTCCAGTTTTCAAGTATTCATTGATAAATCATAGAAGATTAGTTCATAGTTGGAGGTTAGAACTTTCTTGTAACATTTCACAGTGTTGTAAACACTTAGGAGAACAGTTGTTCGGATCCTAAAGTGTGGTTAGATAGATAGAGTACCTTTTGATCCCCACTGGATCATTTGAGAAAAGTCTAAGGATTGAGTAACTTTGAGTGGTGTTATACTCATTGTGAAAAACCTCCAATCTAGGCCTAAG